AGCTTCCGTCTAGGCATACATGCAAAAAAAAAACACAGAGGCTGCGCTTCTTCTTACCTTTCTCCACATTATTCGCATTCTCGATTAACTCCGCTCTTAATAGTCAGGTTTCTATGATTTAATATAGAGAACACTTAAGTGTGCATGTACCAAATCGCAAGCCTCTACTTCTAATTATAAATAAGTTTTTGAATTGTAAAAAGTTGGGAGACTTGTCAAGAGTATAGCATTAGCTCAGTAAAGCATATGTTCCGCTTAATTACACGCGTCGCATAAATAGCTATAAATATCTTCTAATTTTCGAAAAAAAAAAACTAAGCTAAAAACAGAAAAGTTGAAATGCGCTTTGCTGGCGTACAATTAAAAGCCACGAGTCGAAAACCGAAATTCAAGACCCGAAGGCTCGTGCATAATTAACATTAACCGTTTATGAATAATGCAGTCAGCGGTAACATAATAAGCCGGTCAAAATGTTGTGGGTGTTATGTGGTCAGCAGAGTGGTTGGAGAGGGGAGTCGGAGGCGCGGGGCGGCGTATTGTTTTGTAGTGGATCTCTTGGCTGCTTTTATGACATGACATAAGCGTTTAAATAATACAAAGAAATGAAATTAAAAAGCTGGGTAAAAATTCTACAAATTGCATGGCCATGCAGGTTCGATGATGTGAGGGGAGGGGAGGAGGTGAAGTGAAGGCTGCAGCTGGCGGGGAAAAGCGAAAGCAAACATGTGACATATGCGGCAATTAATGCCGTTAATTATTAAAGTTAACACCCAAAAGCGACATGCACAAGTCAAATAAATAAACACGCAGCCAACCAACCAAACGACTCATTGGCTTGCCACACACCAAGTCAAAGCCGCGCAACCCTGCCTATAAAGCTGCCACAACAACAGCAACAACAACAACAGCAAACGTAAAGTTTAGCCCAAGCCCCAAATGAAAACCCAAACGCCCCAACAATTAAGGACAATGCGTGCTAATTTCAAACGAAAACTCCAACGTCGCCAACTGAAAAATCCGGAGCCCCAGCCAAGGCCCAGCTCGAAACCCAGCCCCAATCCCAGCCCCCAGCATTAGCAGGAGGAGCGCTGTAATAATGATTTTTATTTATAAACTGGCGGCGGCACAGGACGCGAAGCAGTACCCATGCGTGCCACATTGGGATTATGTGAGTAGTTGGCAGCGTGGGTGGCCTGGCCAGGCGCTGATAGGTGGCTGAGTGGGTGGATGGGGTGGATGGGGTGGATGGTGTGGTATGGGGTGGGGTTAAGGGGGGCATATAAGAAGGACAGTTGGCACATAAATAATTTACACGCCTGGCGCAAGGCAACACATCCTTTTTGTTGTTATTGTTGTTGTTGCTGTTGCCGGCACTGCTGACATAATTCTATATATATACATATATACATATTTATACAAACTTATATATACATATATATATGTGTATATATATTATATTTTATATTTTATATTTTTAGTTGTTTTTTGTTGTCATTTTGGTAGCTTTTGTTTTTTTCTTTTTTGGCAGCAGGAAACAGGCAAAGCAAACAAAACTTTGTTAATTTTATGCAACTTTTTGGCTTTTACGTGTTTAGTTTATGACTTTTGTTGTTGTTTCTTGCGCCCCTCTCTCACCCCACGCGCCCACATAGCGTTGTTTAAAGGAAATTATGATTTTTTGTTTAGGGTACACTTTTTAGCTTATGCATAGCTAGAATTTTGGGCTGTAAATAATGCACAACAAATCGGTTCAAGCTTTTCTTATCGATCCATAATCAATATACAGTGGTAACTCGTTTGAACGGTCGTAGCGCGCTTACTCAAGACTACTGTGCGCCTTACTGAGAGGCAATAAATATGAACTGATGCAGAATGGTTTGCTATAAAATGTCTGCTCAAGAGAGATGTTCGCCTGTGGGGTGTCTTTAAGAAGGGTATTATAGGGTGTCACAGAAATATATTTATATATATTTTTTATCTGTTGCACAAAAGACTACTTTAAATCATAGATCAACTTTAACTTTGATTAAAGTAGAGCCTTTTCGATAACAGTGAATAGTTATCGATTAATTGAAATTGATTTTTATTTCGAGCAGCCTAATCGTGCGACTTTTCATTTCAATTAAAATCTTAGCTTGAATATAAATTCACACATGCATATCTTAATGAAAATCACACATATGCATTCTATGATTAACTACCTTTAAAACGACCAATCAATTATTGCCGCTATAGACATGAAGACATTTAAGACCCGTTGCTCTCAGGCATGATTAGCTTGAAGATCTGAAGATATACAAATCTTTTAAGCGTTTGCATTATCGGGGATTATTTAAAGAGATCTCGAACTGATTTTTTACGATCAACTTTTGATTGCGTTCCCCGCCCTGCATCAAGTTTGATGCGATCAGTTCCAATCGACTTGGTCTCCTTCCATGTGTGTGGGTTGCCCTCTTTTTGTATTCGTTGAATATTATTGTTATTTTTTTATTTTTTTTTATTTTTTATTGCTGTTGTGTAAACAATAAAAGCAGCCAAATAAAAATACTTTTGACAATGCCCAAAATTTAAAAACCGGCAGCACATCGTGCGATAATGAAGATGATGTTGATGGTGATGGTGATGATGATGTTAATGACAATCGAAAGGCCAATGCGTTCATTAGTTCTCATTATAAAAAAACGAAGAAGAAGAAAATAAAGAGATGAGACAAAAATTGCTTGAACCGAATGATAAACGCATTTATAAACAAAGCGTTTTTCAACAGAAACCATAACTAACACAGTCTGGAATTCAGGGAAAGAGCGCGAGAGTTGCGCGAGAACTGGTTTCGGGCATGCGGGGGCTCCACTTCACTCGATCTGTCCACTCGGCTCATTGTCTGCAGCTAATGAAGTCTATTAATAATGATGGCATGCGATATCTCACAGATACAAAAGATGCCCCATAGAAAATATATTCAAATATATATATTTGATTTGATTATTGCAATAATTTTCATAAAAGCGCTAACCTAGTCGTGGGTGGCCCATCAATGCGAGTTGAATTCGTAAATGGACTCAGCGGGCTGTTATCTTTTAGCTTTTAAGCACAAACGAGCCGCAAATGAGGCGCGACCATGTAAAATACCGATAAGAGCAGTTCAGCTGCCCACTCATCGTGTGGGTGTTGGCTTTGGCTTTGAGAACTGCAGAGAAAGGGTCATAAAACGTATCGATAACAAAATGCGCTATTTGTTAAGCGTTTAGGTAAGCGTTGGTGAAGAAATATAAAAAAAGTGATTGCTTTGAAGCTGTTAAGCTACATTAATTGAATATATACAGATATATGTGAGTTGGTTTTCAATGGATAAGATAACCTTTATTATTGATAAGTCTGTTACAAATTCCCTATGAATTTAATATTGCTTAAATTTATGCAAGCTCCATAGAAGCTTATATTTAAGCTGTTAACATATTTGTATGCATCATGAAGTCATGGAGATTAATACTTCAGTGAATGCATATAAACTTAGCACCTTACTGCTGAAAAGACTCTTATTCAAATGTGCAAGGAATAACAGCTCGTGTGAGCATGAGAATCGCATAGGAAGGCGCCTATCGAAGGGCTGTCAGTGGCAAAGCCCTTTCGGGCTGAGATAACTTATTTGTAGCCTGCCCAGCGCCACAAACGAATGCACAGAAGTGCATTTCAAGTGCACTTCGAGTGCTCGTATTCGCATTCGCATACGCCAGAAGGAGCAGTACGTGAAGTGCGGACCATAAACTTTGAATGCTCAATGGACAAGCAGGCAGCCCCTTATTCAATCGTTCTTATTGTTGTTGCTGCTGCTGCTGCTGCTGCATTGTCGAATGCGTTTTTATAACAATTTAATTATATTTATGCCGTTTATAAACGTGGCGAATGGTCGTGTTGGCGGCTGGCGGTTGGTTGGGGACCCATTGCAAAAGTCATTCAAGCCAAAGTAATGCAAAGGAGCGCAGCTCATTTTCCGCTTGCCTCGCCAATCCACGTCAACCAAAGAGGCGCTCTCTCTCTCTCAGTGCCATCGATGCGTTGTCCAAAGCCGATGCCAATGCACATAACGACGTCCATTACACGCAAAAGCAGCGGAAACAAGAATAGCAACAAAAGAAAATGGCGTCTGGCGACAATATGCGTGCGTGTGTGTGTGTGTGTGCCTGTCTGTGTGTGCGTGTGCATGAACGAAATTATTTTTATTATTTTACACAATTTTTATATGAAAGCCAAATGCGATACAACAAAAGAACTTTACAACATGGCATAAATATTTAGTATATTGCAATTGCTATTCTTGTTGTTGTTGTTGCTGCTGTTGCTGTTGTTGTTGTTGTTGTATTTGTGTGGCAGCTCTTGTATTTAATGAGATTTTTTAACTTTTCCAAAAGCGCCTTAAGCGCTGCTCTGTCGAGCAAACAACAAACTTTGTTTTCCATTCAATATGCACACTTGTACATCATTATTTAAATATATATATATAAATACATACATTATATAAATACAAATATATATCTATATAAATATATATATATATTTATTTATTTAATGCTTTTGTTGTCTTTTGCTCAACAATTTGATTTGCTCGCACTAGAGTCTAGCAATAAAATGCACTACAAAATGTTAGTTAAATAAGTTTCTTCCTTGCAAGTTGAAGTTATTTAACTATATGAGGAACAACACAAAAACAGGTCTATCTGTTGAATAAATAAAGAACATTTGTGCAATTGCATTTCATTTTTTTTTTTTTAACATATATTTTTTTTAAATGTGCCATTTAATGGACATAATTTGCCAGCGATAAGTGTAATTAGCGCTAGCGCCGTTTGACAATAAAAAAAACTGCCTTTGATTGGTTTCTGTTGCAAATGGAATTTTAATGCATATTAAGAGCCTTAGTTAATACAAGTATTTTAGTGTTAAAACAAATGAATCAAATTTAATGAATTCTAATCATTTTTTTTATGCCATTCAAATTGCAGCCCAAATACGTGTTAATTAATTGGCTTTGAGGACGCTTTGAAGAGCAAGAGGTAAATTTCCGATATCTATAGTACTGTCATTGCCAGAAAACATATTTCTCACAGCACACAGCCCCCCAACAAAGTCCCTCCCTCTTTCCCCTACACACACTCACACACACACACACACACACACACACACACCCACACACAAACCCGATAGACGCTCAGTCGACAGCCAGCCGCTTATAATAATAATGCGATTTATCAAATGCACGTAAATTACAATAAATTAAAGACGAAATTAATATTAATGACCAAGACTGGCCGAGACACACACATATACACACACACATACACACACACAAACTACTACCAGATATATATACAATTATATATATATAAATATATAGATACGCCCAACTTCTGTGCTGCTTATGTCCACCCCCTTGTCTTGTAGTCCTTTAGACAATTGCCAAATTAAGTGCATGCCTGCCTGTGGTTGTTTCTGCATGTGTGTGCGTGTGTGTGTGTGTGTGCGTGTCCACAACTTGAGATCTTAAATATGAAAATCGTTCTTTTGATTGCAAATATGCCTATTTGCATGGCATTTGGAGACCGTAGAGCACAGTTAATAAGCCTGGCTATAATAGCGCAAAACTGCAAAGCTAACAAATCGCCAAGCGATTGAGCTAGCTGCCATTGTGGGGCGGTGGGCCGTTGGGCCGGTGGGCGTGGTGCAGCAGGTTGCCATTAAATATATTCTGTTAGAGATGAGCATAGGTTCAATATGCGAGTCTATTTAAGGTATACAAACGTTAAGTATTTATTTATCGTTAAGGAATATTTTGCAATGAATATATTATATATATATATATATATTTATATTAGAGCAAGCATTAGTAGGTATTTTGAGCATTAGGCGCATAATACTTATATTAAGTTTTGTGTTATATTATTCCATTTTTATTTATGTGCTATTCAAAGGGTTTCAAATTAGCATGAAAGTATGATAATTTAATAATTTTATATTTGCATTTTGAAAAGTATTTTTATTGAATTTAATATGTAATCAGCATTGTTTTTGATTTGCACAATTTAAGACGGAGGTATTAAATTATGAAGATCTTTAATACGTATACATCACATATTACGTATTCTACATCAAAGTAACTAAAACAAAAAATTCTCAAAATAGTTGTAGTTCAACTTGGTCCATCAAATATCATCCTGCTAGCCACATATCACAGTATTCTTACACGGGCAGTCACTGGTTTTTTGGGGCAACTCAGATGATTGTTTCTTCAGCTGAAGCTGGCAAATTTTGCATATTTAATGAGCCTGGTGTGGCACAAACGCAGCCAATGCTTTTACATATGTGCATGTGTATATATGTACATGTGTGTGTGTCTCCGTGTGCGTGTGTGTGTGTGTGTTTGTGTGCGTGTTCTGTGCACCTGTGTCCGAGTCTGTGTCTGTTGCTGAGTTTTCGGGCTCATTGTTGCTAGCTTGTTGAGTTGCAATTTGGCTAACAAATTATGCAACAGCAACAAGCCAACACACACACAAAGATGCAACAGCAACAACAATAACAACGACAACAACAACAACAACTGCACTACTGACCCAACTGGGCCCAAATCCTGCGCCTGCAGCTTTTGGGCCATGTCAGGCATTGACTTTACGGCCCCGACCGTTGCTACGTTGCCATCCGTACGGCCCTGTTAAATAATTGTAATTTATGGCATTTTACACATATAAATATATGGAAATCAATAAATTTCAAACACGCACACATAGACACACACACGCACACACACATATTCGGGATAGTTACACTTGCATGGGCAATTTCCCCAATAGACCTGCGTTCGGTTTGGTTTTTTGGTCAGCAGTTCATTTACACGCACTATAAATTGCATTTGGCCAGCTCCCCAGTTGGCCAGTTAACCTTTATAGGCGACCCCCTGCACGGCCCCCTACCAACCTATTTGCCGCCCAGCCGCAGCCGCATCCACGACCACAAACTGCACCCCAGCCGGGCCGCTGCTGCTGCTGTTTGCCTTGTTTGAGTCATCCATTTGGCTTATTGTTATTTGGAATTTAACAATTATATAATGTTGTCGAAATTAAAGGTAAACTGCCCGCTGATAGATGCCCCGCCGCCCCCTACTCCGCTGACCGGATTTGCAAGCCACGTCCCTAGGAGATTTGTACACTGACCTGGCCGCACCTTTTTTCAATGATTGCATTTTGACTTTTAAATATGCACAATATTTTGCATTTCAATTGCGGTTTTCACACAAACACACACACACGCACACGTGCGAAGTACACACATAAATGTAATAACTCTGTCAATTTGTGTTGTGCCTGCGGCGCCTGTTTCATGACGTGTTGACAAATCGCGTGGGTAGTTTCAACAATTGCAAGTCGTCGTTTTCTACTTGAATCTAATACACATACTTGCAAATGCGAATAAATAGTCATATTTTAAATTTCATTGTCTGTGCTCTACACAAAAGTCTATACCTTTTGTACTGCTTTTGGCCACGCATTGTGAATCATTTGCAAAACGCTTTTGAACTACTTTAAAATATGTGCTAAGCACTTTTGAATCGTTTTTGTGCCCCTTTCGAACCACTTAAAAGCCCTTGCAGAACTCATTTGAACTTATTCCACATTAAAACCAACTTCTTTTAAAGCACTTTCAAATCTTGCTAAGGCCCTTATTGAAGCTAGTTCAAACTCTGTTTGCTCAATTTTTACTTGTGCTCCATTTATACGCCATTTGGGAGAAGCCTTTTTAACCTGCTAATTCCTCTTGTCCCCTTTCGAAACCTTTTTTCAACACTTCATTATAACACCTTTAAAGCACTTTTCAATATTCTTTGAACCCTTTTAAGCCAGCTTGAGCTCTGGAAAACTATGCCTTACTGAGATTTGAGCATATCAAGATGATCGTCAAATACTAAAGAAATTCAATAAAGTTGTTTTAGTTCTTCAATAAAAGTATAGAAAACTTAAAAAGCCCAGCTTAGTAGACATAACCTCTTCGCCTTTTATGAGATTCTTTACAATTGCACCTCGTACAAAAAAACATATATTTATTTATTAATTTCTTTTGCATATGGTTAAATGCCTAATGAAAAAAAATATTCGAATGCTCGCTGTGTGTCATCAATTTTTATTTTATTTTTTTCCATTGCGTTTATTTTGTTTATTATTCAATTTCTCTCTCCTCGCATTTATGCACTATTATTATTTTTTTTATTGTTGATTTTTTTTTTTGTGATAATTGTTAAAAGAAACTTCAGTTTGGTTGGCTTTTGAAATGCTTGTTCTGTGCGTATTTTCATTAAAAATCGAACTTAATTAAATTGTGTCAAAGCTATTAAATTTTTATTGTCATTTTTGCGAAAACACATAAGTGTGCAATACGCTTAAGCCGCCGCCGATGCCACATACAGACAATAGCAGCAGCCCCCCCTTGAACAGGCGGTCTCATTGAATTGCGTTGCAAATGAATTTATGGCCACTTATTTGTTATATATATGCATACATATATATAAATATGTATCATAAACCTATTAGACAGCAAGCCCCATTTGCGGCACCCTAAACGTGGCCCCCGCCTCAGCCCACCCTCCGGCATATCGTGTGTCAATATGGGCTGGGCATGCGGCTGGCTTTTTAAGGGTCTCTCAATCATGTTTTTTAATGCACAAAGTATCTCAATTTTGTCACGAGCTATGTGAAACATTGGAGCAGGCATTTCCGATCTAATAGAATGTCCGAATTCTATGCAAAATGACTGACAAGGCAGCTTCTTGAACCTCGGCTTAGATTCAACTTGTTGCTGCTTGCCTCATTCACAATGTCATCGGAATCGACTTGAATCTGTAGTCCATGGTCTAAAATGCTAGACTCTAGAATCGCTATTCCCTATTAGAGCGTATGTAGGAACAATCAATGTTTAATTGACTTGCTGCTGGGAGCAGAATATCGTGTGTATATCAGGGTATTTAATCTTCGGCATCTTTGGCTTGTTGTTTTGGCAAATGTCTCGCTTACCGCCTGGTGTGAAAAGTAATTATGGCGCCTTCTGACAGCCGGTCAACTTCATTCGACGTCCATTAACTCGGCCGCACTTCACATCCAAGGCACACCGCCCCCCCCCCCTCTCCCACTGAACCCACACAGGCACCCCCAACCCCTTTCACACACAACTCCACACAATTCCTTCGATTCAGACAGCTGCGCTTGTTGCATTTTTCTCGAATCGCCGACTCGTTTTTGGCCTTTTGTTTATTTACTTTTTATGTGTTGGCTCAGCTGGACATTCGCCCTGCCTAGTTTGAGGCAGGGGGAAGGGAGGGTGGGGCGGCACATTCCAGTGCTGGTCACGTATGATGACCCAAATGTGCGGCGGCACCTCCTTCAGTTCGTCCAGCACGCTGCAGTGCGTGTTGTTGTTGTTGTTGTTGTTGTTGTTGTTGTTGCTGTTGTTTTTTTAATAAAATTTATTACACTCTCACATGACAAACATATACCTCGCACCCACAAGCCCACAACCCGTGCCCATGCCCCCCGTTTGCCTTTCGTGTTTGTCTAATAGAAAAATTATGGGCCAAGGCAGGCCGCGACGTTCTGTAGTGTGTGTGTGTGTGTGTGTGTGTAAGTGAGTGTGTGTGGCGTAAGGTGGTGGGGCGGGGGTTAGGCCTTAGTTTTTATACGCATGCCTCGTCCCGCGTCTGGCGTTCCTCTTGTCTTTGCCTCGTTTGCCCCATAATTAGAACATAAAACTTTTTATTGAAATGCTGAGGCATTTTCATTTACGTGTCGATCCGTCAGACACACAGCATAGCGCCTCGCGATGGGTGTGTGTGTGTGTGTGTGTAAGGGAGGGAGTGTGTGCTTGCCTTAATAACAGTTAACGTTTACACACGCATATGTATTTAGTATTAGGCACACATACACACACTGAAACACACAATTAAATAAATGTAATAAACATTTATTTTATTAATTAATAATTCTACGCTGAAGCCGAGAAAGAACGCCCGTATATATACACACATACACATATATATATAGAGGCGTGTGTATGAGAGTGTGTATAATGAGCATGTTGGTCGGCAGATAATTATCATTAAAAATGCACACACCAATTAGCCAAATTCAATTTGACGCTAACTCGCTGCAAAATGCACAACGCCAACAACAAATTAAAACATATGTTAAACATTTTATTAGCTCAAAGCTCAAATTTTCCACCTAAATTGAAACAATATAACATAATGGCAAGCGCAAAATACAAAAATAACAACAATAACAACATCAATTGCAAAACAGCCAAAAGCCAACAACCAGCACAGCTCAAATGTTGACATTTTTCAATTATTGTTTGCTTTATTTATGCATTCAGCTAAAAATTCAATGAATACAAACGATAAAATATAATTTAAATCTACATTTATAAAAATATGTTTGACTTTTGTTTGTACAATTATTTATTCAAATTTTCTATTAAGTATTTTGTTACATACGCTTTTCCCTGATTTAGTTACACTGTTCCCATGCGCCTGTCAACGTTGACATGCACCTTCACGTGCTGCACACCCAACAAATATTGGCTTTTAAATACAATTACGATAGAATACACTACGAAACTGGTTATTGCAGAGTTTGGGCAAGTTTCTCTATAAGTACCTTATATTCAACAGATTCTTTATTCTATATCTGGTATGGTATAGTGCCTCGATGGGAGGTGCATCTTATGGTTAACATGTTTGAACGATATATCTTGTAAATGACAAAAATTGATCTTATGGGAACTCTATTTTCGACCGATTGTGCCAATGACAGCTATATAATATAGGGACCTAATGCTGATCATACTTGATGGCTAGGTTTTTATACCTCAATTTAATTTTCAGCCGATTCAACTTATAGCAGTATACGATATAGGGTGCTGATCAGGCAGATGTCTCTCTCTATGCTCTACACATTTTATCGCAATACCATAAAACCCTCTTTAAACAGACAAAGGCTTAGTTCCGAATGATTGCTTCGCAATCTCAACGTAATAGAAGCCAGCAAAGCTGCGCTATAATTCTCAACAGATTTTAGCGCAAAGCCAGCTTAATAGCTGGCGGTTTTGTAAACTGATATGTGCAAGATCTAATCTGCCCACTTATGTTTTATTCCTCCCATATACAACATGATTCTCACATTACGCTTACATTTCAACTACGTGGCACGGCGGAGCTTGTTCCTGGTGCTCATTAGCTGCCTCCTGCCACCAACTGGAGAGGCAACTCTCGAGGCAGCTCGTTTTCTGCTATCTGCGCACAATGCCAATGTGTAATGGAGTGGAGTGCATCAAATGGCACCGCAATGGCACACACGCTAAAGCTGCATTAGCAACACGACAGCAACAGCAACAGCTACAAATCTGGTCTGCTACGCAATATTATATGGACAGCTCCTGCCCCCCCGCCAGCCCCCACCCATCCTCATCGTATTTCCTTCCAAATGACTGTCTGCGAGTTTTTAATGAAAAATTGCTAGGGCGTTATTTGTTTAATGCGCTTCATCAAACAAGCAGCGGTGGCCATTTACCTGGTTGAGCCGCCCCATCGTGCCATAGTTTCACCCTGCCCCAACTGCCACGCCCTGCCTCACCTGCCGCCCCCATTCAGAGCACATACCCTATTTAAGCGCGCTATAGGGCTATTCCCGTGCAGGTGCCGGCATTCAATTTGCTTTCAATCGGGGTAAATAAAATGCTGAAAGAGAAACCACCAAATGGCTTCAGTGTTTGTGTGTGAGTGTGTGTGTGTGTGTGTGTGTGCGTGAAAGAAAATGTTAATAAATTACACGCCAGATTATTATTCTGTGGGTCTATGTCGTGAAAAATTATACACAGGCAGGTTTATTCAGCACCTTATGAAGCGCTCTCATGTGTCATGATAGAAAATCATTTCAATTGGACGACAGCAGCAATGGGATTCTCAATTCTCGAGTTTCAGTTTTGGTTACTTGGGGTTCGTGGCTCATAATTCATGGTTTGGGCCGCATTTGGTTTATTTTTTGGTTTTTGAACTGCAAGCTCGAACACCAAAAAAAAAAACATCCACTTTCAATGTGACACGTGACATGCGACATAAAACAAAAGAGAGCGCAACATGGAAACAATAATTAAAAAGTCTCACTCTCGACTCGGACGCCAAGTTGTCAGTTTTGGGTTTCGGGCTTTAAAGTGTTCGCAGTGCATACACTGCAAGAAAATGCTAGAATTTAACAATTGAAATTTACATCATTAATACCAAATGCTCACACTATCATCATATAGCTTACATATTTAGCTTATGCATACTTGATGTTCATCTGGTCTCCGCTCACTCGCCAGTTTTCCATGAAAAGATTTTGTTTGTAGAATCTTGCCTGTGCATTGTTTCATAATTTGTGCAGTGCCTAGTTTCAGCTAGTTTGTTATTCATGGTCAATCTTTGGAATTTAGAATTTGACGAAATTTTTGAATACTGAGAAAACCATTAACATCCGCCTAATTGTTTGCTTGTGGATTGCTTAAACGCTTGGTCCTAGAGTGTAGATATTGTTTGATTTATTCCAATTATATATGAATATAATTTAAAGATCGGTTGATAAGAAAGGAACTAATCCAGATTGCAGTGTGCCCATAAATAGTAAAGATAATTACGGTCACACTGCTGACTGGTTCTTTTGTGTGGACAAATTCTCTGTTGCAATACAAAATATATAATAGGATTTAAAAAAAAAATCCACTGTTAACAGTCGTTACTACTTTGACCTTTGACATGAGCCCTGGACTAGCTACAGCATGTAATTCGAGCCTGATTGCTGTTCATTAATAAGCCGCTTATCAATAATATGATAGAAATTGTATAAGCTTTTAAGCTCAATTAAAAATAGTTCGTACTGTGTGGCCCTCGACTAACTAGTTGCTATATGGGGCTTAACGGGTAGCTAAAACTTAATAAGTTACTCACTTCACAGCCGGTGGCTTGTATTTGATGCGTGCATCCATGCGTTTCTTGGCATTCATGGTGTCCTCGTTGCTGCAGCCGACAGTGAAGGCGGCTATGACTGCCTTCTCCTTGCACCATGCCACATGGCTGTCGTAGGCCTTGAGGTTGAAGCTGCGTTCGCAGTGCGGACAACGTTCTAAGGCAACGTTCGCGCAACGCTTCGTCAGTGTGCAATCCCGGTTAATGGACGAGCTGGTTCCGGGAACATTTGCTGCCGTTACCGTCGCTGTTGTCGTTGCCTTGCGCTTGGCTAATGCCGGCGACTCCGGTTTACACGGGGATGCAACTTCTTTAGCTTTTGGAGTAGGTGCGTCCAAGGTCTGTTCGAGAGTAGCTCGCGTCAGCTTCAAGAAAAATGAGAGTGCGAAATATTGGGGTGTGCTCTGCTCACCTTTGATTTCGACTGCGGCGATGTTGGTCCATGTGCAGCATCTAGCGTCAGCTCGCTGTTGTGCGTCCCAAAGCTGAAGTATTCAATGCCCTCGCGACGCTGCCGAGAAGAATCGAACACTTGACGCTTCTTCAGCACATTCCCACAGATGGCCGCGTGCTTGGCCAACACCTTAGGATTGAATGTTCGATTGCAATGTGGACATTGCTTCAGCTCCGCTTCGCTAGGTGTACGAGTAGTGCCAGTTAGATTTGATGTCATTTTGTGTGTTATTGTTTTCAAACGTGAGCAGATGCTATGGAGATACATCGAGAATTTAGAATGAAATACGTGTATAAAATAGTACGTGTTGCTGTGTAAAAAAAAATAAAACTAATAAAATGTAACTAAGTGGAATTATATAAAAAGTAGCTTGGAGCTGTGCTGTCCGTGTGAGAGTCTCAGAGTCAATGCAAAGGCTGTCGTGCCAGGCTTGAAGCCTCTTCCATCGGTAACAGGCTTGACTTGACGCATAAATCGGATTTATACTAGATCAAAAACTAAATATTTCGAACATGTAAAAAAATTAAATTCAAAGAAATTTAACAAATTTATGTATTTTTGCAAATTTTCTTCTGTAGTATTGTTTTTTTTTTTGTCCACCACCAACAATAATTGGTACAATATTATTCCATCACAATGACCATGATGATTCCTTGATTCCTTTTTGAATCCTTTTACTTTTTAAATGAATCAAATGATTCATCGATATTATTAACTATCGATTATTTCGCTCAGTGCAGCTTTACGCAGCTGCGACCCATTGGACCGAGTGTCTGGAGGAGGAGGAGAACCGCTTCAAGTCTTTCATTGAATTGAATGTTGAAATGGAATTAAAAGACAGACAACGCTTTATACAAATTATGGCCTGGGTCTCGGCTTTGCTTCGCACGCTGCCTGCTCGAGCACTTGACAGGCGCTGGCCTGGGCTGCATTATCGTTGCCACATCCCCCCCCCCCCCCCCCCCCTCACACACACACACACCATATAGCAGCAGTCAAGTTGCCCCAAGTGGCGTGGCACATTGGCCCGTTCCGGGTGCATTTAACGAACGCATTTTTCATCTCTCCCCCGTCTCTCTCTCTCTCTCTCTCTGTGAAGTGATTTCAAAATGATTATTTTTTGACACATGGGGCAACACCTGCATAACATTTGACGGCGGCGGCGGCAACGTTGCAGCTGCCACAGATCCCAATGCCAAAGAGCCAGCCACCTTCAATATGCATCAAATGCCAGAGGAGCTCATGTAGCTGTCGATGTTGATGAGGCGGCTCCAGTCCGTGCCCCTTATACCTCCACTGCACCTCGCTCTACCTCTCCCTCATTCATATACATACGTCTACATACATATATGCATATGTATATTTAAACATATGTGTGTTGTTTGTGTATAATTATATAATTTGACTGCTGCAATTATGCTGTTCGTCGTTAATTGAAATGTAAACGTCATCATTATGATAAGATGACGTTGAGGCCCGGTCCGACCCGACCTGTTATATGAAGGGGGATTGTGCCCAGTTCTGCGTTGCGTTTCTTGCATTGTTAGCGACTGACGTGGGCGCTGCGCACAGCTCCGACTGTGGAGCGTGTCAATTCTATTTGTGCTGGCAATTTGCTGGAGGTTGAAGGAGGGGCAGAGACACGCGAGTCGTGTTATGTGGCAGCTCCTTGATCGGCGCCCATTAGCAAAGCCTTTCTAGAAGCATTGTTATAAGTTTGGACCGGATCGCTTGAAGCTGCTTTATGGGCATCTGCTGTGGTTGAGTGTTGCAAAATGCTCTAAATGCCAGATTCCATTGTTATCGATAACAAACAGTAGACGAATTCCCAAGGGGTTTCTGATTGGGTACCTGCTTCATGGTGCGCGCTAAATTCCTTTTTTTTTGTTTATTGTACAACTTTGTGCCTTCTTGTTCAATATGTGTGCACGTCTTACAATAATTTCTTAGCTCATAAACCCTAGTTTTTCGCATATCCTTTAAAAAACTCTCAAGAAATGAAACAAAATGTGAATACTATAGATATAATATAATTACATCCACAAGTGTTTCTCAACACTCTATTTATCGAAATATCAGACATTTTCACGTCATGGCACTTATCGATATCTATGTTTTAACGGCGATGCTGCCATTAAGTTAAAAAGCAACTATTTGACAGCAGGCGCTGCATCAAAATTTACTTTTGTATTACTTAGTGAAAAGTCTCATAAGTTTTCAAGAACCGATCATTTCAATTGCAATAAGTCTTCTCTAAACTCACATTGGAAATGTTTACCAAACGTTTGGGCCACCTCAAAGCCGTGGCAATAACACAGAATCTGTGCTGGCCGCGAGTCACAGGAACGCAGCAAATGGGTTGTGTCTACAGTACAAAGAAGCAGCAGCTACAGCAACAACAGCAGCAGCAGCAGCCACAGCAGCCACAACAGCCACAACAGCCGCAACAGCCGCAACAGCATCACCAAGTGGAGCAGTGCTCGGCCGATGAGGAGCCGAAGGGGGAAATTGAGTGGCTGACGCAGGAGCTGGCCGCAGCCAGGGTGGAGCACAACGAGCTGCTTGACAAATACAAGCGCGCGCTGGCCGATGGTGAAAATATGCGCAAGCGACTCAATAAACAGATCGACGATGCCAAAATCTTTGGTATACAGGGCTTCTGCAAGGATCTGATCGAGGTGGCCGATGTGCTCGGCCATGCCACTCAGGCGGTGCCCAAGGATAAGCTCAATGCGAATGCCGATCTGAGGAATCTGTATGAGGGTCTCAATCTGACGCGCGCCTCATTGCTGCAGGTATTCAAGCGTCATGGCCTGGAGGCCCTGGATCCGATCAACCAGAAATTCGATCCCAATCTGCATGAGGCACTGTTCCAGACATTGGACAATACGGTTGAGGCCAACACTGTGGTGCAGGTCACCAAATTGGGCTATAAACTGCACAAGCGTTGCATACGCCCCGCCCTGGTGGGTGTGTCCAAGCGTTAATACCGAAGCCATGCAAATATCTATCCACCCAAAATCTATATCATCTGTCCTACATAAACTATGGCCACCCTCACACATTGTTCGCTAAATTATCTTTGTCATGCTACAAAATTCACATAAATATTTAGTAACCACAATCAATGTAGCTTGTGAATATACAGGCAAAAACTCTCACGTTGGCTATAATAATAAAAAAAAAAAGAAGTTTGTTCCAGATAATTAGCAAAAGAAACCATTTGTAAATATACGGAACCGTCACATGAAATGTGTCATGTTGCACAAACCTTTAGCAACGTCATATTAACGTAGAACTTACAGCAAAGATAGAGCAAAGACTAATAAGTTTATGGAATCAGAAAGGTATAGATGCCTGACAAAAGGAAAAGTTATAAATGAACCAACTTCAAAGGTTATTTAGCATGATTGAGTAGCATTAAGAGAGGATCACAAAGCGCTTCTTAGCAGATACTTATTGATGTAGGCAATGTTACAAATGTTAAACACGTGGATAAGAATTATAATTCTGGCAGACACTTATGGAGATAGACTTTTGCACTAAATTGGAATTGATATGTTTCATAATGAAAACCAATTGCTTCCACTGCAATTGCTACATCTACCTCGCAGTCCTGAGCTGCTGTCTGTCAATCGAGTCTCTTATTTGTGAGAAGCTCATACAGAAGCGCAATGGCAATTAAACAAAGCGACGGAAACCCATTAAAAATTGAGCGGCCATTTGGCCATTGGCTGGCACACAGCCTGCGGCGGCTGTTTGCCCAAAAACTAGGCAAAAGTACCAAAAACAGAGAGAGAAAAAAAAAAACAAGAGAAGGAAAAACTTTGCAGCCAGTTGTGTGTGTGAAAATGCGCACAAATATTTTCAATTACAAATTGTATTTTTCCGTTTAGATAAGCAAAATTTATGGCAGTTCCAGCAGCCCATGCCAGCGCAATGCCGGCAACTGCTTGTAGACGCTGCCCCAGTCTCTAGTCTCCAGGGTCTATGCCCGTCTCAGAGCCCGTTCCAGTTGCCGTTCAATGCCTTCGTCTTCGATCGTCCTGCGGCAACAAACACTTTTGCGCTCCGTCGGCGACGCAGTTGTAAACAAGGCTGCAAGCAAAAAAAACCCCCCTAAAATATATAAAAAGGAGCAGCAGACGACGAGCCGTTAGACCAAAGGACCAAAGACGCCAAGCAGCAAAAAGCGCGCAGCCAGAAGAAAAACTACGGAAAAAGAAATGACGTACAGATTTACAGAGTATTTTCCTTTACGTGCTTTTGTGGCGCCGCCAAGTGTCACGTACGCCAGACAGCGGGACGCAGGTGGGGCACATGCGAGTGTGTGTCTGTGTGTCTGTGTGTGTGTTGGGGGCGTGGCCCATCGTTACGAGGTTTCATTCTTTTTTATTTTCGGTCAACCCCAGACATGAAATGCAATGCGAGCAAATGCCTCGCAACTTATTACAGATGACGACTCGACAAGGCCACGTTACGCAGCCCCGACCCGCTTTCGCGCTATCCCTCTTCCCCCACCAATTCCTGCAATGTTCAGCCTGCAGTGCACAGAATTTCTGACACGCCCAGTGGACAGCGGTCAGCCGCCCCCTGTACCTTACTGCCACCCACACCGATTTAAAGGAAAAAGTTTTCACTTCGCTTTCGGGCAGAGTACAGAGTACGCAAAATGCTTGCACTTCAAATTGAATTAGAGTGAATATTTCAGGGTTAGGCAGGAGCGGGCGTTCAGGTCAGAGGGGGGCACAACGTGCTGTTGGGTGACAAAAGGTGCGCGGGTGCAAAAAAAAACTTTGCCATCAACGTCTGCGGCATATTAAAAACGAAATGTAGTTAAAGTTGAAGGTGTTGCAACAACGATTGGGCGTGGCATCCGCACGACAACTGCGACGCTTGGACGCGGCACGTTTGTCGTTTTTATAGATATTTTGTATATTTGTCTACACGCATATTGTGTGTGTGTCTGTGTGTGTATGTGTGTGTGTGTGTGTGTGTGTATACGCAATATTTTTAAATTTCAAAGCACGCGCGTTGCACAGAGACGGAAATGACAAGCAGCGGGAAAAGGAAAGAAACAAGAAAAGCTATTTACCAGCACTGGAAAACTCAACGCACGATCAACAGAAAGATCTACGGAAATTTGCAGATTTTCAAGTGACTCACGTTTATTTATATGAATATATAATGTTCCTGCTATGCTCTGATAGAAAATATATGTATATATTCTTGATCCACCGATTTGATATTTAGCCAGGTTCGTCTGTAAGTGATTTTAAACAACGATAAACTTAGCATCCATTTGACAAAGCTCTCAGAAATAAAGCTGGTGTGTAAAGTCACTTTGTAGGGTATCAAATAGACGGTACGCCCTTCCCCCTTGACGCTGCATGCGTAACACAAACAACTCG